AGGACGACCTGCGCCGCCTGCTCCGCGGAGCGCTCGTCCACGCAGAGAGGGAAGGCGAACCCGGAACCTGCCTTCCACTGGCTGCTTTGGCGTGCTGCTAGCCCGTCAGGCGCGGTGGCCAAGTGGTAAGGCGTCGGTCTCGTAAACCGAAGATCGCGGGTTCGAACCCCGTCCGTGCCTCAAATTGGACCGCGGCGTCGCGGCTTGTTGGAGAGGGGGATGGAAGGGGATTCCCTTTCGCAAGCCGCTTTTTGTTTTTCGGCCTCGCCTGCCTTTGCTGAATTACTTTATAAAAGGGGAAACAGCTGGAGGGCTAGGCCGTCCCTCACCCGTGGCCTGCCCCTCCGCAAGGAAGGACTATTACGTGCCGGGGCTTCCGGAAGATGCTCGCTGCCTTTGGCCCTGCGGGGATCGCAACTCTGGGGTCGACCCACGAGCGGATTTCTCTAGCCTGCCCACCGAAGAGGGTCGGGTTTTGCCTTGGAGCGGGCGGAGGACGTGGCGTTTGCAAAGGAGAACGAAGGAGAAAGGCCGCCTTCCCCAGCTGAGACGGAGAGGCTCCCCCCCCCTTCCCCGCGCCGCGGCCGCCGCCGCCGCGAATTTCCCCGATACATTCCCATGGCGTCGGGATTCTCGTATCTACCAGGCCCCAATAAATCCCCTTTCCGTTGGTCGCAGTTTCTGGCTTGAGGCTGGGGTCCGGGAGATGAGACGCCCCTTGCAAGGAGATGGGGGGTTGGGGGTTGGGAGGCTCTTCCTTTAGGCGCCCGCCTAGAAAGCAGCAATTGGGGGGGGGGGGGCACCCCGCTTGGGACCCGGGGGGGCTGGCGCTCCTCTAGCAGCCGGCGAGGGTGGACAGAGAGTGGGAGGTTCGCCTTCGCGCATTGCTGGGTGGCGAAGGACGTTGCATCGCCTCGCCGCACGGAAACAGCCGTCCAGAAAGGTTCAACAACAACTCTGGCCTGGGTAAAGAAAGGGCAGCCAGATACAGAGGAGTTTCTCTGCACGCAGCCTGCACGAATGCAGGATGCGTAGTTGGACTGCAGTGTTTATCTGGCAGGGTCTGGGGGGGGGGCATCGAGGGAACCCGGGTTAAGACCTTGGTTGTCACTTTTCTCTTGATAAATGGGGGCGAGGGGCTAGAATCTGTGCCACTCAGGCCGATTCATTTGCAGATGCTGCCACTGGGACTAATCTACATAGGCAACAAAATGAAGTGGTCAGGCTCTGAAACAGTACAGGGGCTGCCTGCTGGGTAACAAATGGACTTATCTTTATATGCTTGTTATATTCATAGCCCACCTTTCTCACTGAGAGGCAGAGCAGATTTCACAGTGTAAATCCGTGCAGTCAATAGGGCGAGACAGCTAATAGGCAATGTGATAGGAGCAGGATTACAGAGATCTGAACAAGCGCTGAATATTAAACTTGATACAGTATGCAGGTACTCTACAGGAAAAAATTGTATTGCATCATTAGAAAATAATCCAGCAACAGCAGGATAATACCTGTAGCGAACAGACGATATGATTTGTAAAATGTCTGTAAAGCAGGTTAGGCTGGGAGAATACTAACCCAAGGCCAACCCAGCAAGTTTTCATGGCAGAGAGGGGATTTGGAACTTGGGTCACCCAGATCCCAGTCAGACACTTTAACCGCTCCACCTCACTGGCTTTCCCTAATGGTTGTTCATGGATGTTCACCAAGTAATTGTTTGAAAGCACAGCAAAAGATGGAAAAGTCGGTGACCATGTCAGGCTAGTGGCTCAGTTTCTTCATTTCCAGGTTTTGCTGCATTGTACCTAAGGACCACAGTCTGCATCTCATTGAACTTGGTATCTAAACTCTGATAGCTGCAGTTGTCCGTTTATGTTCAGTGTGTGCCAGCTCTGTGGGTAGCACTTGATTCCCCTCACTCCTCTGCTCATGCGACTTCAACTCACGTCCAATGTAAAATCAGTAACTGAAAGGATCAGTTAAGTAGTACATGCTATGAATGACCTCTGCCCAAGACCCTGAAGAGCCACTGCCAATCAGAGTAGACAGTAATGATGTTAATAGACACAGTATAAGGCAGCTTCATCAGGAGGTAGAACCAAGTGGTGAAAATACAAAGAACTGTGAAATGACTTGCCCTCTTTGTGAAATAGGCTGCTGTTAATAGGATTGTTCCTGGGTTTTGGATCACAGGTCCTAAGGTTTGCACAGCAAACAGAAATTAAACAGGGGAACATGTCCTGCCCTGAGCTGGATAGCACAAGTTAGTCCGATCTCATCGGAAACTAAGCAGGATCAGCCCTGGCTAGGATTTAGAAGGGATTCCTCCAAGGAATGCCAGGGCTGTGATGTGGAGGCAGGCAAAGGCAAACCACCACTTAACATCTCTTGCCTTGAAAACCCTACAGGCTTGCCATACGTCAGCTGTGACTTGACGAAAAGGAAAGCATAGTATGGCACACTAGTGAAGTTCCACTTGTTGCTTCTCTGTGGGTGCGGTCAGACTGGCAGGTTGACGTGGTTTGGGCGTGCCACTAATTACGCCATCGCACTTTGTGATGGAGATTTTCAGTCAGTCTCCCATCCTGATCTGGCCTCACTGCACGCTTCATCCATGGTTGACTGTTCAGATTAGTGCTGCGCGCCAGTGACGGAGCGTGTGGTCTGGTCTTATTTTTGCTACCATTTAAAAACAAAATACGGCAAAACTGGAACTAAAGGTTCACACTTCCAAACCAGTTTGAGCATGCACCGAGGGCATTCAGACATCTGGAAACCAATGTTCCCTCTAAGCTGTGGAGTCTTGTGAGCGAAAATTCTACTTTGTGAGCTACTGGCAATAAAGTTGTGAGCGGGCGATTTGGCTACTGCATAAATTAGTTTGCTCTGGAGCTGCCCTTTCTGAGCGAAGGCAAAAATGTGTGAGCTGGAGGCTAACAAACTGTGAGCTAGCTCACACTAACTCAGCTTAGAGGAACACTGCTGGAAATATGGAATCAATGTGCGGATATCCGTAAGCACCTGATTGTCTCTGGTGGCTATTTACTCCATATCGAGCTCATCTTATGACGTGGTGAATATGACTGGGGAATGGCTGCCAGATATGGATGTGTGAACGAGCCCATTTAATCTGTTAGGGTAACACAACCATATCAGGCCACACTGTCTGTCTGACCACAGCCTGTGTCTGTCTGTTCAACACACAAGAATCCTACCAGGGGGAGAAACATATTTTAAGAACAAAATTGGGAACACAAAATATTGATTATTCCCTATAATGCTGTCATATCAAAACCCAGATTAGGCAGATGTAAAGTCCAAGGCTCATCAGTGGTGGTTTAAGACACGATGAAATTGATTCGCCCTCTAAATGCTGCCATAGCTTCGCCTGAAAGGCAAACCCCTATGAGAAGATCAACAAGAAAAGAACTTTGATATGGGAGAGTAGAGATCTAATACAATCTGATGCTGAAGTTGCAATTGTAATGGGTCTGTCCACAGACCCTCGGAGAGACCTTAATCCCAGGGCCTTTGTTGTTAGTACTATTGACTGAATTTACCTAAATCTTCTATAATAGTTTCCCACACCTATTGTTGCCAACTGCCTGGAGGGAAAAAAATGACAGGAGTCCCAAATTCCAGAGCTGTGGCTTGCTCTTAGTCCCATCAAATAATGCAGGGAATTTTTGCATGCAGCTAATTAATGTCCCTACTTACACACTTAAAGCTACAGTTCTACTGTTTGGGAAGTGAGCGCTCCTGTTTAGCATGGCCTTTCCTCAGGCTTGCCAGCAATTCGAGCCTGTGCTGGTTCCATCACCTGTCTTCACCCGTCCGCAATGCTGACGGCAGCAGCTGTGGTGGCTGAGCACGGGGAGAGAAGGTGGTTTTGATTTGGGGCACAATCCAGCCTTAGCTAAGCACTCTGAAGTCCCATTAAAAATCTCTCCTGCTGAAGTCAATCTAATCCTATGCTTATATACCATTGACCCCCCCTAAATCTAGCAGGCCTGGTTCCCAAATAATAGTTCATATGATTTCATCCATGAGCATCTTCTCTTGTAATCAGCGGGACATGAAAAAGTTCACACTCCTTATTTGATTTCTTGTCTCCTAAGCAGAAAGATCAAGTACAAACTGGTTAGCTGGTTAAAGAAAAAAACTGACTCTGGCCCCGGTCACACAGGCCAGATATCGCGGGGGGGAGGCGTGGCTAATTGCCCCGGCGCAGTTTGATGCGTGATTACGCAATCAGACGCACCGGCGGCACACCACCGGTCCTTCCCTCGGCGCCAGCAGGTAAACGAGGGACCGGAGGGGAATGCTGCACGCTGGTGTGATCACACCACGGGCGTCTGGAGGCAGCCCGTGGCAAACGTTTACTAGTACCTTGGAGGTACTATTTTTTTAAGGCACAATTGCGGCGGTAAGCCACGGGTGCGCTCCACTTCCCAGATGTTGGGGTGCGATCGCGCCCGGATAATCCGCCCACCATCCGTGCCTTTCCCGCGGCAATTTTGCCGTATGACCGGGGCCATGGGTGCCTTTAAGTGTTGTGCAGAAGAGAGAATTTCACAGGTTCACCTTGTCAGGCAGGGGTGAGTTCAGGCTGAAAGTGACTTCTGCTTGACTAATATTCACTCTAGGAAGAGCTCTGTGGCATGGTCAGTCACGACCCCTCCTTTGTTGAATGTGTGCAGCTGTAGCAGTGGGGAGCGGAGGATGCCAGCTGCCCCTTGGTGAAGGCAGTGGGAGATGGGCAAGAGGGGTGGCTGGCTCAGGATCTCCGTATAAGAGCGGCTTTGTCACGGCCCTCGGTATGCAAACTGAGCTGGGTGCTGCCACTGTGAATGTATATCTTGTTTCCTCCCCACATTCACGCAAAATCAAGAAGGTCGCATTCCAGAAGCTCCGCTGGGCCTTGTGTGATGCAGAAGAGAAATCAAGAGCTCTTT